AAAAAAAAATAATTTCCTCAAGCACTGTGCTGGAATCTGCCTGTTGCTCGAAGTAAATTGATCTGCCACTGAAAAGTTTTGGCATGCAGTGGGTTTTTTTTTTCATAGATATTGGAATTCAGGGGGAACATGCTTCTCCATTGTACTTAACAAGTCAGGCACAGGGATTAAAAGTTGATTTGAGCTGATGCTGTGATGTCAGAGAAGCAAAGCCTATAGTGACTAGGCTCACTAGAACATCTGGCTAACAAAGTCAATAGAAACGAGTGATCCAAAAAGAGAGTTGAAATTGCCAGCATCCCAAGGAGATTACAGTAGGACCCCTGTATTGTGGGGGATAAGTTCCAAGCCCTCTCGCGGATACCTGAAACCATGGATAGTAGTGAACACTTCCAAATGCCTTCCAAATGCAAATGATGAGGGGACAGAAGGCAAGGAGCAAGGCACTGAGGAGTTCTTAAGCCTCTGGCAACCTATCTCATTGGAGGAAATGAAACAGCCACCGGGGAGGATGCACCGCCGCTCCCTGGCCCAAAGAAGCAGACAGGGGAGATGATGAAGGGGTTGCATTTCATTTAGAACCATGGTCAGCTGCAGTTAAATGAAACCGTGGTAACTGAAACAATGGATACGGGGGTCCTGCCGTATATCACACTCAGGATAATTCATAATACAGCAGTAACCTTTACTAGTTATAACAAACTGCACATTAGGAAACTGTATATGGAGATTTTGATTCTGCAGTCCCCTGTTTTGCCTTTTTTGGGGGGTGGAATGAAAAGTTTGTCTGGATCACACATTTTTCCAGTTGTCACTCTCTTATGTTTTCCATCTCTTCTTATAACTCCCCCACTTCTACCCCCCAAAAAAGTCCATAAAAGAGGAAAAGACGGAATGACACACAATCATTTTGAATGGCAAAGCTAAGAGTCTTCTAACTAGAAACACTCAGTCCCCCCACCCTGCAAAAATGCATGTAGATCCTGGTTGACTTCTGTGATCAATACCTAAAGCCAGAGATGGGAGAAGTGACTGTTTTGGATAATAAAAGTATCCCCTGTTTCTGCATTTGTGCTGTTCTGGGGACCATGTAACCTTGTTCTGATTTTTTTTGGACTAGAATTCCAAAGCCATTGATGGCCATTGGCAATCACCATGCTGACTTTTTTTGCACAGCCACAGCCAATGCCAGTTACCGAAGCAAACACAAAGGAAACTAAAAAGTAACTTTTCCCATCTTTGCTTATGTTTCTCTGCAACTAGAAAAGTGGTTGTCTTTCACTCCAACATTCTTTCAAAATGTTTAATAAAAAAGCTGACTAAATCATGAAAAATTAATTTAAGAAAAAGCACCACATTTCTATTTGGTTTGGGGCTGGGAAATCTCCTCTCTGTATTTGACTCCATTTGACTTTTTCTGTTCTCTCAGTGTATTCTTTCACACTGTTAGTTTTTCTTCACTAAGAAGGGGCTAAAGCAGGGGGTGGGATCGGTTCTTGCAGACATTTTTTTAATACTTTGGTGCCCTCTGTTGATCTTCAGTAAAAGGTGTCAAGGAAAATTAGAACTGAAAAGGCAAAGTGTGCTGCTTATATACCACCCCATAGGATGTAAAGCACTCTCTGAGCAGTTTACAATTTATTTGTGCAGACTATACATTGCCCTCTGCCCCCAGCAATCTGAGCATTCAATTTACCAACCTTAGAAGGATGGAAGGTTGAATCAACATTCGGTTGGCTATCTGAGCCTGTTAAGTTTGAACACGGGTTGTGAGCAGGGTCTTGACTGGAGTACTGCAATTCAACCACTGCTAAACTGGCCCACAGTGGTTAAACCCTTAAGGCTAACAGCTCACACTAACCATTTTTCATGGTCATGGTCTCTGCAGTGTGTACAGTGGTGCCTCACTTAGTGACATTAATCCGTTCCAGGAAAAACGTTGCTAAGTGATTTAATCGCTAAGCAATTTTTAAAAGCCCATAGAAATGCATTAAAACGTGTTTAATGTGTTCCTATGGGCTTAAAAACTGACCTTATGCGAAGATCCTCCACAGAGGCGGCCATTTTCGGTGCCTCTAAAGTGAGGCAAAACACCGGGTGGCCATTTTATTTTTCCGGTGGCCATTTTGGAACCTACGATAAGCTGTGCAAAAAGGGTCGCTTTGCCATGATCGCTTCCCTGCGATAATCGCAAAGCGATTTTTCCCCATAGGGGCCATGGCTAAGCAATCATTCTGGCGATGGCCAAAACCCCATCGCTAAGCGATTTCATCGCTCAACGGAGCGATCACTAAGTGAGGCACCACTATATATTCTTTGACATCAGGTGAGAACTGAATTCTACCCAACAGATGAGATATTTAAGGAGTGATTTTACCAGTTCACCCATCTCCCCAGTGAGTTTCTATGGCCAAGTGAGGATTTGAACCCAGTTGTCCCGAGTTCTACTCCATCCCTCTATTTACTGTGCCACACTGGATACCGTATAATATGGATGGTGCTTCAGCTTGCATCTTGAATCCTCTCCATTTTAAAATGTGTAATCTTGACTTCTGAAGCCAAAATGTTTAAAGTGCTGATATATAGAGGAAGCCCAAGCTGCACTTTTTCAATTTCATTCTTTATTTTACCAGCAAATGTTCAGGAGCAGATTGTCAAAACAGCTGAGCCCATGCTTAAAAACGAAGCCCTGAATTTTTTACGCGTACACTCTTTCAGGGCATGGTTATAGGTTTAGTGGGATTTCTGCTGTGTGTTAGGCCAATTTCACTTACAGTTTCTCTCCCCCTAATTAATTGTTTGTATTTATTCTGCCTAGATATATGTGTTGTGACACAGTGCATTGTATTCCCAACCTTGTCATGTTGCTTTGAACTTCAAAAGAACATTGAACCTAGCCAAAGCTTAGCAAAATAGCTGTACTGACTGGAGGTTTCTCAGAGTTGTAATTCAAAAAAAGTTACTTCTCCAACCTGTAGTATGTTTCCCCCCCGGAATTCATATGTATGTTTGTAAAGTAGCTAGGTCTTTACCACAGTGTCTCTCCTGCACATTCATCCTATCAAAATGCAATGGCTTAAAGGATTTCAAGACATTAACCTGTTTCATTGATGTCTCTCCTGCACATTCAAAATGCAATGGCTTAAAGGATTTGGAGGATTTCAAGACATTAACCTGTTTCATTGAAAGGCACTACAGTATTTGGAATGAAGACATAAACAAAAATTGAGTTATTCTGTGTTGTCTCATCATCAGCCACTGTTCCACTCATGCACACAACCAACTGATGTAGCAGTACATATCAAATTAAGCCTTAGTGCTTGCATGTATAAAAGTAGAGAGTGACACTGATTCACTGTTATTGAATCATTGAAACTACTGTAATGTTCTGTATGTTAAGATAAGCTTAATGAGTGTCTGGTCTGCCATCTGATGGATAGTAACTCCCATTAGCTCCAGACAGCATGGCCAATAGTTACAAATGAGGAGAGCCAGAATCCTGCATTTACAGGGCCACACATCCCATCACTGTTTTAAAGAATAATTTTCAACAATAGTACAAAATTCTGCTGCAAGTACATATTATCAGTATCTGTTGAGTCAGTAGAACTGGGCATGCATGCACAAGAGAGGGGTAGATCCCTCTGGTAGGATGTATCTCCATCACTCATCCTGTTTCTCATGTTTGTTACTACCCATACCTCTTTGCATCTACTTTTATGTTTTAGCACAGGTAGTCTGGGGTCTGGGAAGTCATGGACCCTCTTAACCAAAAAGGAAACTTATTGTCAAAATCAGAATCCCCATTTTCAAAAGAGATGAGCAGCTCTGTTATATAGTGGCGATTAGTTAGAATGTTATTCATTAACTAGTGGGATGGAGAAAAAAAATCCTTAATGAATTTTATGAGTTTTGTGTACCATGGATTACTTGACTAGCACCTTGTTGCCTAATGGTTTCTGTAACTTGTAAATACATAGTGTGTACTTCTTCCAAAAATTCCATTGTTTCACCTCTTCTTTGAAGCCATTATAAAATGTGCAATATTTATGTACCTAGGCATTTACACTGGAGTCATACATTCAGTAGAGTAGCATCTAAGTGCTTGGAAGATGAAATATGAGTTTAGGAACAATAAGGAAATTACTAGCCATTAAAGATATTTTAAAAATAGTCCCCATAAAGAGAGTATTTAGTGTATTTTCTGTATAAAGAGCCTATAGCAGCAATACGAGATAGCAGATTAAAGGGCTATAAAATAAGACATGTAGCAAAAATCACACATTAAGAATTGTAACCACATCCAACAGCATTTATCACGGCTAGAGTAACCATCATGCCAGATGCTGTAGCTCCTTCACTATGCTATTGTAGTATGTTGGTCCCAATCCCCCCTCCCTTTATCATGAGAACAACCTGCCTGTCTTGTTGTTTGTGGTGGGTTCCTTTAAAACTGCTGGCTGAACTTCTTAACAGGGCTGTGAAGTAAGTGCAGAGGGGAAGTTCAGAGTCTGTTCTTCCAACTGCAGGAAAAGCTAAATAACTCATCCTTTTGAGACCTGCTTTTCCAAGCTAGCACCAGGTCCTGTTGCCACAGATGTGACTTTCCCCAGGCTTTTGTTACTGCTTTTTGGCAATCAGCATGGCATTGGGGGTGAAGCTAGTATCATTTCGGACACCTATTTTAGGTATTACAGTAGTAATGTATCCGCTTTCTGAAGGGCGGCATACACAAGAGCCAGTGTTAGTCTCCCATTGACTGCATCCAGCCCTGCTTGGCTTCAGTGCTTTTAGCCTAGCCATGACTTGAGCTGTGGCTGATACCTAAACTAAGCTGTTGCTAGGCTGGAGAACAGTGGGAAGAACAGGACGCTTTGTACTGCCAAATATTGAGGTGGAGTTTTGGCAAGCCTTGGGAAGAGGTGGAGGGGGGAGGAGTAGCAGGGAAAGTTTGCGGTGGACATTCGCTGCATTTATGTGTATTTGCATATTCCTTTCAGTTGGCACCTTGATCCTATGCAGCGTTCCTAACTCTCCAATATCTGTGGGTTTTGGTGCATGAGTCGGCCGGTAAATGAGCAAATGGTGAGAGCAGTGCATTTCTTTCAGTTTTTTTTACAGTGGTGGTGGCGGTGGAACCTACATATATTTCATGATAAATGCCAGAGATGTGGCTTTCTATACCAAGAAAACCACATCTCTGGCATTTAAGGCAAAAGGAAAAGACCCTTTTTTTAAGACTTCAGCTCTGGGAATCTCCCAGACAACATGGCCAACTGGTATTCTGGAAGCTAAAAACTGTTTCCAGATTTCATTGTTTTAAAGTGCTGTAGGGCTTACATCATGTGATGAGACAAAATTCCTTCACATTCAAACTGGTTTCCAGCATTTGCAGGAATTACAAGAGATGTTTCATTAAAAACCATTTGCATTGCCCCAGGCCAGGTGCTTATTAGAGCTGCCAAGAAATAGTTGTTTGATAACAACAAAATGATTTTAGTCAGGAATTACAAGAGATGTTTCATTAAAAAACCCACCAAATTCTTGCCCCAACTTAGCTCCACAAATTCATTAACACAGTTAGATCCTATTGCATTCAGTGGGTCTTACATCTGATTAGACATCCGTAAGATTACACTGATAACTCTCTGATACCTCACATCTCAGACTCTGTTACCTTGCTCATCTCTGGTATCCTACTTTGGGTCAAAGACAGTATCCTTAGGTTTTTGCATAACTTTCATATTCAGTCTTCTAGTTTGCTGAAAAAATTAAAAAGCTGAATTTAAATATGACTGAGATGGCTTTGAAAGAATCATTGCTCTTTTGAGCCATCCCTACATTTTGGTAGACAGAGTGAGGTAGCTGCCTCACACAGCAATTTTGAATGTTATTGAAGCAGATTTTAAGGTCAGACTACACACAGTATGAAACAGTTAGTATGCAGCTAAGTATAGTTTTAAAACTTACTGATAAGCATGTGTAGTCCTGATCCATTCTGGAATCAGCACATGTGGAAGATGTTTAAAGGGATGGCCATACCTTTTTTAATTACATTAAATTAAACATACGGCCATTGAGCCAGTAGAGTCTCCCTTTTAACCCTCATGCAAGGTGAATTTGTGATTTAAAATGAAGTGGAAGGAAGCTTTATAGTTGCCCCCTCCATGTGTGCTGGTCCTGATTCTAACCAAGGCCATATGCACTTATTTTACAGTATTAAAAAGGTGATGTCAAATAGTGTTGCATGTAACATAATACACCCTTACTTGTTATTGTTGTATTTCATTTTTCTTGCCAGGGCTCTGCCAGAATAACATGAATTTGTTTACTTTTGCTTTATTTTGTTTTGTTTCTTTGGATTTTGCTTGAATTTCTCTGGCTTTGGGAAACTTTGTCTTCTTTCCAAGGTAGAGGCATTCTTTGTTTTGGTCTCAGACAGTAACATGTTTTGGACCACCTCTGATTGGGACACAGATCTGTTAGCCCTAGTATGACATTATTGTGCTTCAGTTTTCCCCTCTAGTTGGCCAACCCTTTATGTAGACCTGGGTTTACCATCCCATAGGTTGAACTGGGAGCAACTGGCAGTCTCTGGTCTTTGAAGACTATATTTATACAGCAATAAAAATAATGATCTGCCATTAAGTCAACTCCAACTTACGTTGACTCTTTCCAGGGTTTTCTAGGCATAAAGTTCTCAGAAGCATTTCCCATTCCATTCTTTTTGAGGGCACTCTTTGACTGTGCAGATTGACCAAGACTATACAGGGAAAACATTATTTTGGATCACTTCCACAAACCCTTTAGGTCACTGGTTCTTAACCTTGGGTTACTCAGGAGTTTTGGACTGCAACTCCCAGAAGCCTTCACCACCAACTGTGCTGGCTGGGGTTTCTGGGAGTTGCAGTTCAAAAACATCTGAGTAACAAAGGTTAAGAACCACTGCTTTAGGTCATGCTGGGGCATTCTGGAAACTTTGTCCCAAAAACAAAACTTGTTGAAGCTCTAGTCATTTCAAATCCCTCTTTGTCTCACTCACACATTATGTTTCTACAGGCACAGCCTGCAGGGCAAAATCTCCTCTTTGCAGTGATTCTCCTCCTTAAGCACAAGGTATGTAGAGAGCATTTGAAGAGGCACAAACCATAATTCAGCCACATGTTTTGTCTGTTGAAGGTCTCATATTCAGTCAGTGGGACCTCCTGTTAGAAGGATCAGATGGGAAGTAATAAACAAAACACAGTGTGTCGCAGCAGAGAGAATGAAAAGGCTACGCTACGTAAATTATCTGACCCTGCTCTAAGGCAGCTATCAGTGATGGACAGTCCAGCTGTCCCTTTAACAAGTTTCATTTGCCAGCAATATTCAGATGGTAACATTCAGCACTTGGCCAAGATGACACTTACCATTCTACCAGCCTACAAAAGATTAATATCCTACTAAGCTTCATTTGAACATTTTTTTGCATATCCAACTTTTCTTAAAGGGCTAGGTCAGGATTCCCACGGACGCATCCTTGATGCTTGGCAACTTTGCCTTAAAGTTTGGACTGGTATGCCCCCATCTACCTGAAAGCATTTGCCAGTTTATTTTTAGCTGTTGCCAAGAAAGAGTAGGCAGCCTAATCTATGGAGTCCTGGTTCGTAAGGAAATACTTTAATTAAAGTATCACATTGCAGACAGGGGGGAAGTAGTGGGGGTGTGTGTGCGGAGGAGAGAGATCAACCCAGAGTAATGAGAGCTAGGCAAATTTGCAGAACGTGTTTGCTAGCATCAGGGCTTCAGAGCACTTTTTAACGAACAGTTCAACCCTGGCTCTGGACAGGGAAAAGACAGGTTCTGTGCTGTGTTTTCTCTTCACACAAAAGAGACAAAAATTGTTTCTTTCCCCACTTTTTCTTTTCTTTTCTTTCCTTTCTTTTTTTTTTCTTTAAGTGGTTGGCAAGGAGACTAGCTGGGCACTTCCTGATTATATTAGCATAGCCCATCCCACATCCCACATACGCCCAGCAATACCTCATTTTAATGCTGGAGCCAGGCCAAAAGTACAAGCACTACACTGAATATAAGGAGGGGAATGACTGCAAAGAGAATCATAAACTGTCATAAGGCTAGATCACGTTTCTGACTAGGGCAGGGGAAAAATATTAGGCTGAAAATGAGCAGCCTTTAGATATTTTCATGGTTGAAAGCAAACATACTGAGTGAGCCTTTGACAAAGAAAGGGAAAAAGCTAGCTGTTGCACAGCTCTGAGGCTATAATCTGATAGAAGTTGACGCTCACACCAGTTTGGTGCAATTCTTTTTCTTCTTCCTTTCTCTTGCAGAAAAAGGAAGAGTACAAAGGGAAAGGGACAAGTGGGAATAAAGCATGACAGGGACAAAGAGGAAAAAGAAGAATGCTATCTGGAGGAAGATTCCCGCACTTCGCTATGAAGACTTCAGACGGTGGTGTGTAAAGAGGCTGCCTGTTTTGGAGTGGGCACAAAACTACAATTGGAAAACAGACTTGGTCCCTGATACAGTTTCTGGAATGATGCTGGCAATTCAACAGGTGACACAAGGTACTGTCTTGGAAATCGGCATTGATGGCTTGTATTGCATAAGTTGAGCTGCGCTACTGAATAGTGACAGCTCAGAGCCTCTCTGTTTCTTTCCTATGAGTTACTGATGGAGGCTGGCATCCCCTTGCCTGATCCTGGACCCATTATGTACACAGTACAACCTGGTGCATATTTATTTAAATCTGCCAGTTTTCTATAGTGCTTACTCCTAGGCAAGTATGCATAGGGATTTAGCCTTCATCTTGCTGCAATAAATGTTTTTTCCCCTCTTCTTCTCATTCTAAAGTGGGGGAAAGCTGACTGGATGGCTCAGTGGGAAGGGAATTAAACCACTTCTGAATATTCTCTACCTGGAAAACCCTCGAAAGGATTGTCATAAGTCAGAATTGACTTGATGGCACATTATTATTATTAAAGTGGGTGAGTGGGATATGGTGGCTTTCTGATCTAGTACTGAACCACACCAAAAGAAATATAAGTTCTCTCTATGTTGGTGTGTCTATGTGCACAATTTATTTAGTTATATGTATATTCTGCTTTTCCACCAATGAACTCAAGGCAGCATACATTGCTATTTCCCCTCAACCCCACTGAATGTTGTATGTGAAAGAGGTTATTGCTTGTCTCTCCTTTTCCCTTTTACCTGTGCATAGATACCATTTTTCTTAGCAAAGCCCTTGTTTGTGAGATGAGACTCCAGAGTAATCATAGCAGCCTCATGGCACAGTGGTTCCACTGCAGGACTGCACCTAAAACTCTGCTCACGACCAGGTTCACTAAGCCTTCCATCTTTCTGAGGTCAATAGAGTACCCAGCTTGCGTGTGTGTGTAATATATCACCTGTGTCATTGTAAACCACCAAGATAGTGCTTTAAGCGCTATGGGACGGTATATAAGTAGCCCACTTTTCTTTATGTTTCCACATTCAATCTCTGTCCCCCGCAGTTCAATGGTGTATGTAACAAACCCTTGTTAATCGAACTGCTTTCAACTGTGTTCGTCCTGTACTGTGTACAACACATCCATGGGAAGAGTGCAATTGGCATGACCACCCTTACAGGATTGATGTAATTATTACTGCTTACAGATATAACGGGTGTGAAGTATTTTGAAAGTTATGCAGTGATCTGTAAACACAGTGCTGTTTGAAAATCTGATGTTTCCCATTCAAAGTTTCTGTCACCTTTTCCTGTTCAGAATACACGTACAGTACAAGGTGTTTGTTGTGCAGAAAACAAAAAATGCCTGCATTGTTCCCAACATTATTACCTGACACTCCCATGAAAACAATATCCAACAAGCTGCAAAGGTTCTGGTGCTGTAAAAGAGTCTCTCTTTTCAAACTGTCTGCTCTTCTCCCTAATCCTTATCTAACAAAACTATTGCAAACCAGAGTGGCATCATAAGCAATCTGGTTACTGTAGGTAAACCTAAAGTGTAACAGCTATTGGAGAAATAAAGATTTCTACCATTTCATGGCAATTTCAGAAAACCCTTCAATACAGTACCTTATGAAAATGGTTTACGAACCATTCACAAGCAAAGCCTTGTGATAGCTGTTGTCTTACAGATTTCCTAGCAGCTAACCATAGTTCTCATTCATGCATTGACAATTATAAGTGCTCCTTTAATTGAATTATTCTGCAGCTGGAACCAGCCGGTTTGTGTAAGTATTTGTGCTTTAGGAGTAATTAAGAACATCTGCATTTAACTTTAAAGACCTTAATGCTATAGTACTTTAAAGATTTTGTTTCACTGCTATACTCGTAGGCACAAACTGTAATTAAAATTCTGCTAATAGTGGTGTTTGAGAAGCCAACCAAAAGTAACAGGCAACCCTCGGTAGTGGTTTTCTTCAGCCTTTTTAAAAAACACATATTCCCTGAAATATCCTTGAATTTTCAAGCTGTCAAGAATCCAACTGATGTTCTTGCTGCACTGCTAGATGATTGAAACCTTTGGATTCAGAAGACAGCATCTCATAGATAGAGACAGGCTTCACTAGTTTTGTCCCACATGGAATATGACTCTGATTCAAGTGGTGATGCTTTACCTCATTCTTGAGGTAGTGGTTCACAATGAACAGAGATGTTTCTGGGCACATGAATGGTTCAAGCAAGGGACTTGGGGTTGAATTAGATGTGTTTAAGAATGGTGTTCCTTTAAGACAGGGATCCCCCAACTTTTTTGCCTCCACAGACCGGTTTAGCATGGGGGGCGTCTGTGCATGTGGGGTAGGGGCCGTGCATGCATGGGAGGGGCTGTGCCTGCATGGGAGGGGCCATGTGTGGGTGGGAGAGGCTATGGGAGGGTCCATGCATGCAGGAGAGGGGCTGTGTGTGCAGGGGAGGAGCTGTGGGAGGGGCCTTGCATGCATGGGAGGAGCCGTGGGGGGCGTGCATGCTTCTGTGCATGCGGGGAGCAGGAGTTTTGTCTCTGCAGCCTGGTCCTGGCAAGGCCAGAGACTGGGACAGGTCCGTGGACCAGGGGTTGGGGACCCCTGCTTTAAGACATCCGTTTGTCAGAGCAGTAGTTTTTGTTGCATTTTGTAGTGATTTTTTTATCAGTGGTCACTAAAACGTAAACACAGCCTTAATTTGCAAGTTTCTGTGATAGCAATGTTCTGAAGTTCTCAAGCTCTTGCTCTTTCTGTGTGGGGATGGATGTCTGACAACTCCATCATGATGTAAGAAGGGGTAAAAGAAGAGAAAAACACACTATAGTTACTTGCTGAAAATGCTTAGGCTGGTTCCCCCCAGTGTTCTTCTGTTAACTGGCAAATGCCTTTTTTATTTCGCTAAGTCTTTGGCAACTAAGGCAGGTTGCTGTAGAAGGCGGTTTTAGGTGGACTAAAGCTTTCTTTCTTTTTTTTAAATCTCACTAGTGATGTGTTTGAATGGGCAGGGTGGTTCCTTGCTCTGGAAAAAAAACGTTTTTCAGATATCTACAACTTCTGCTTTCATATTTACTTTATACCCTCGCACCATTACTTTTGAGGAATGTCATTCTGGCAAGGCCTATTGTTCATTCTGCCCTGGAACAGAACATTTTCCACTCATCTAAGGTCAAGATAATGATGAGAGACTACAAAGAAACATTGGGAAGTGGGTTGATGTTTCAGTAGTCTGGAGCACATGCAGCTAGCAGGAGCATCAAATTTGATTTGGTTGGAGGGCAGACCTGCCCTTCCTCAGAAGAGGCAAAAGCACCACGCCCAATTTTTAACTTTACACTCACTTTATTCAGTCCTTATTCTTAAGCATGTTAACCCACTGCTCTGTTGTCACTTCACATGCAAGTAAAATGACAGGACTGAAAAACTACTCTTCTGTGGCTGCACTTCATGTGAACCAGAAGATGAGAAAATCAGGGTTCTAACTTGCACAGAGAGCCTCCAGGGGTAGATTCTCTCTTCTGGTCACACCTTTCACTTTACAAGTGACTGAAATGATAATGGAGAGGTGGAGCTGGTGCCTTCCCCTTGTGTGTTGAGTAAACACAACTAAGAAGGACTGAATGAAGCTGCTGAAAATGAATGGTTTTGATGTAGGGGTGAAACTGCAGAAATATCAGTAGCTAATTAGTAAATATTCCCTTTCTATCCCGTACCCATTATTCCATGTCTTCCCATTTTGCCTGCCAAAGTCCCTGTGTCAATCAACTCCATGCTGCATTTAATCACCATTCGCCCATGCCCTCAGTAGTATTTATTTAAATAACAACATTTTTATCCTGTTTTTTTTTGGAGGGGGAGGGAGTTTCTAGAATACTTTAAAAATATCAATATAACTTTAAAAAATTCCTCCCTTGTGTACTTAGGATCAATTCAGATGACCATAGCATGAAGGCAACCACAGGGTGGCCTGTGAAAAGATCACTCAAGGCAAAGAACTGTTCTGACCTGAATGTGGAATTTACTAGGATTGACAAAGACTGGATGTCATCATGGCTTTCCTTGAATCACTGACATTTTATCTGAATTGGTTTATAAGCCCTTATCCATTGTCATTGCCACTTTGCTCCGGGATTATATTTGAATATCTGAAAGGGCGCAATTTTTCATGGAAAAGTAACTTATTCATTCATTCATTCATTCATTCATTCATTCATTCCCAGGGAGGGAGCCAGACATATTTCTGGGGAAAGATTTTTCCAGAGGCAAGGGGCCACTGCCGAGAAGCCCCGCTTTCTTGTTCTTTGTCTTCGGGCCTCCCTCGGTGTTAGCCCCCTCAACCTAAAGCCTAACATATGCCCTACTGTAAAATAAAACAAGATTTTGTTGAGATACTTCTTTCCTAAAATAATTTCTGATTTGTTATACCCTCCCTGAAACATGCATATAATAAATTACACTCAATTTTAAGAACCAGAGAAATGCATCAGCATAGGAAGGTGGGAAACAGGACTGTCAGTCCTGCTGAAAGACTAGCTCCCCGTTTCCCTGGTTTTCCTCCTCCTTTTGTACTCCATCATTTTTTTAATTGTAATCCTGTGAACATGGACTTTCTGGGAGCATTTTTGGCTGAGAAACAATATAGCATTGCTTTAAATAAATAAATGAAGAAATAAGTGGCCATAATGGGTTGCAGTAGCACTGTAAGAGGAATAAGCACAAGTGACCTTATTATTCATATCTGAACAAGAGTGATGCAAAGATAATGAGTACTTTCTTTCCATAGTCCCTATCAGAGAATTGCTGACACTTTACGTAAGCAGAAGCATAGATTAAGCTGATAGAATAGCTCAGTGGTTTATGTGTCTGGCTGCTGAGCCAGAGGTTGGGAGTTCGGGTTCCATACGGAGTACAGCCAGCCTGGGTGGCCTTGGGCAAGTTCCACAGTTGCAGGATGTCCCCAGAAGAAGGGAATGGTAAACCACTTCTGTGTATTTGCTATATGGAAAACCATGAAAAGGGTCATCGTAAGTCAGAATTGAGTTGACAGCACACGCTGATGTTGATTTTAGATTAGGTTGCTTTAAAAAAGGGATTGCATTAATTT